CCTGCATCGGCAGGCGGACTCTCAACCACTGCGCCACCAGGGAACCCCCCTAGTCCCTCTTTTAACCCTGAGTTCTGTGTCTTTTTTACAAGGGAGAACAAACCATCTGGAAAGCACTCATTTGTCCCACTCTCAGAAGGCCAGGTACTCTTGGCAAAGTAAAGGCTCTGACAAGTCCTGCAGCCAAGGAACCCCAGTAACCATTTAAATCAGTGCTGCCCACCTGACTTGACCACGGACCCAGGTTCAGGACATAGCTCCCTGTTAGCGCTCCGAGAAACGCCCTTCAGGAAGGCGGCATGGTGGAGCAGCGGGGGATGTGGCGGGCGGGCCTGGGCAGGGCTGGGGCGGCCACACGTGGGAGCTGGTGCTGGAAGGTGGGCCAGGCAGAGGGGACTCGGTTCGGAGCTTGATTCCTCACGTCTTTGTCCAGCACCAGCTGTGTGCTAGGCACCGTCCTGGGAGCTGGGGACACAGGCTATTCGTATTGACAGACAGACAAGTAATTACAGGTACAGGTGGTGATTAAGATGGCAAAGCGCAGAAGCCAGCGGGATGTGATTGAGGAAGGGGGATATCCCCAGGATGGCCAGGGAGCCCTTGCTGGGACGGGACGGATCTGCTTGCTGGCTGGTGGTAGAGAAGGCCTCGCCGGGGAGATCAAGGGAGATCCAGGTGGATCTGAATTTCAACAATGCCAGATAAACAACCAACACTTTTCAGCATCTCTGTGCCCAAATAGTCTTCTATTTGGGAATGTGCTCTTTACCTGAAATTCAAATCTGAGTAGGCGCCCTGCATCTTACCTGCAGGCCTCAGAGAGTGGGGATCATGAGGGTCCTGAGGCCTGCAGGGGGCACCAGTGCCCCCCCCGAGCCCCACTAGATGAGGTGGCGTTCACTCTCCCGTGATTCCCAAATCCCGCAGGTCAGGCGGCTGTGTTCAACGTGACCTTCCAGCGGGCCAAGGGCTACCCCATCGACCTGTACTACCTGATGGACCTCTCCTACTCCATGCTGGACGACCTCATCAACGTCAAAAAGCTGGGGGGCGACCTGCTCCGGGCCCTCAACGAGATCACCGAGTCTGGCCGCATCGGTGAGCTGCCCGCTCCCTCCTCCCCTGAGCCCCAGCCAGCCTGCTGCCTGCACGCCCCACAGGCCCCCACCCTGGGCACCTCTGTGCCTCCGCGTCCCAAGGGCAGGGCACCAGGGCTCCAGACCCCCCGAGTGCCACCTTGCTTCCTCCCCGCCCCCCCCCCCACCCT